AAGCGAGGTGCCACTTAGTCTTATAGCAACTGTACCCAGTGTCCTTCGCTTGGAGACAGAGATATCGGTAGTAAGGTCGTACTCTTAGCTCATAGCGCAAACGCTGAACTCGCTCTGCGAGTACCTGAGCAATCTGCTCTGCGAATGATCGGAGGATGGTGTGACGCCACGAGACCCCATGATCTTCGCGCTGTTCGGCGTCGTTCCGTTGATTGATGATAGGGCAAACTCAGGTAATTGGTGTATTCTAGAACGACCCCTTGCATGGATCGAGGGCCGAGTGTCCATTCTCATGGCGCCAGAGAGGAGAGGCAACGTGAAATCTGAGATTGCAACGTCAACATGCGATCGCTGTTGGCTGTTTTGGAAGGGTAGCACTGCCTTGGGAGAGGCAAGGTGGTGAGGCGATTGCGCACTAACCTCATCAAAGAGGAGTGTCCATTCGATTTAGCGAGACGCAGAGAAGGGTTTGGCTGTCAATCATGAGTTATGAAATCATACGACAGCGCAAGACGCCGACGTGGTGGTGGTAGGCGTAACGCAATCAGGCAGGTAAAATTGATGTCGGGCGAAAAGCCCAAAGCCCTGCGGGAGGAAAGGATCCACACCGAAGGAGAATAGGACTTGTCCCCAATAGACGTCGCCAATTCCCAATTCGCGCTAGTTGTGGGCGAGACAAGCGAGCGATAGCAGGGATCTTGTTTGCTGGGGACAAGTTCAGCCATTGTCGATGCCATAATTGGAGTTGTGTCATTCCCTGGAGGCTCAGAATGTTGGCATCTCCGGAAGTAGTCTGGTCATCTTCACGGCCATAGTGGCCAGTCTTTTCCATTGGTGATTGTCCCTGCACAATCTTCTGCTAAATTTGCCTGCTCTTCGAGATTGTTCGATCATGCCCATTCGGGATGAAGACCTATCATCTTCACCCTTAAGTGGTGCCACACCATTGGTTGAAGGTCCCGAACACCCCTGTCCGAAAGTAACTTTGGTGTCTTCAAGGTAGTAGAAGCAATTGCTAAGCTTCGCCTGAAAGCTTGTCCACGCAACGCCCTGCGCGGCTGGCCCACATGGTCCTGTCACCCATTGCCACTGATCTGCTATCATTGAGTTTCGTGGTCGCGGGGGAATATTCAAGAGTGGTTAAGCCTGGCCGGGCAGCCAACTGTTCTCTCCACTCTTGGCCACACTCACGGCAGCCAGTTTTGTGTGGCTTATCCCTTCTGCTTCTGCGGTGGTTTCTAGTTTCGAGGGAGAGTACGATTCGTCGCTGGTCGATCAGGTCCCATTGTGAAGATGTGCAAGCCACTTGTGTAAGTCTTCAATTGGACCTGCTCGCGGACAGGTGGGAGATGCCGCCGACTCAAATCAGAAACCCGATTTGTACTTTGGTGCACACGGAATTTGGGAGATTTTGTGGTGACAAGGAGCAATTGTGTTCTGGTATGCCTCGTACAGAGTAGACTGAGGAGCCACATTAAAGCTGGCAGAGTTGTATTTTCAGGAAGGTGTCATTGGCTGTTAATTGGCCAGCTGATCTCGCTAAGTGTGGAATTGAGGTCCGTGATTGATAGATCCATCCCTCGTACGGTTTGTAGAGTGGGGGAGGCAACTGTGGTTGGTGTAAGCGCATGTTGAACGAGCTCGGGTGGGATCGAGTTGACCGAGAACACGACAAGCTGGGACAAAGAGGGTCAGCATTCCGCGTGTTCTTTTGTCTGTGCAGCTAGCGAGCTCGGGATCCGAAGGTGACAATGCTACTGCTAGCACCACCGGGTACCTTGACTACGCCGGTTGGGCGTTTTCGGCAAGACGGCACGAACCCTGGTTTGTATTGGGGACATCGGACGACAATAGTATTGCAGGCTGTGTAAGTAGCAGAAATGTAGCAGACGGTGTTCCGAGCAAACACAAGGACAAAATAAACACCCAGACTTTGCCAGGAGTCCAGAATCTTTACGGAGGCTGTAAAGCCCTTGACGTCCTTACCACTCGCCATGCAGGAAGTTTGGAAGTTTGGCGAACAAGGGGATGATCCCTTGGCACCAAAATATGAGTAAAATCTACCCCGAGCTTAGGTGCGCCTTACCAAGGGATTGCCAAGATTTATTATGTCTATCTCCAAAAGCCACATCAAGATCGTACACTCGAAACTAATTTGAGAATATGTTGTCGATTCCAAAGCCAAACTCAACATTCCAATCGTAGGGTATATCGTAGAAATTATCATCCAGTTTCTCCCGTTCGCCATCGCCCTCCACGGTTCGCCAGCTGTTCCGCCCAGGCGCCTCGTAATCAGGCTCGCTGGCGCGCTCGAAGATGAAAGTCGTGTACTCGTCTTTGATCGGCTGGAGGCGCTGCTGAAACTCCTGTGAGCACCGCGAGACTGCTGGCCAGCGTTCTGCCATGGTCGAGAACAACATGGGAAAGTACTCGAGGAAGTTTTCGATTTCGGTGAATGTGTAAGACTCGAAGATGGCGTTTTTGCAGGTTTCCAAGGTATAAAGAAAGACTATGGCCGAAGAAAAGGTGTGATAGCACGAATGAAAGACATATTTGGTGTGGCCTGCTGCCGAATTAGCTTGATCGTAATAGCCTGACGCAACACAAACAGCTGCTGCGAAAGCCTTGAGTAGATCCGGCCTAGATCGTGTTGGAATTCGTGGACAGGGTCCAAAAAGACAGACCAGAACGTAGTGATAGCCAATCTGAGCATAAAGAATGAGCTCGTCCCACTGCGACTTTTTCGAGTCATCCTTGTTGTCAGCAGCAGCAACATTGACTTCTTCCCGCCACGTCCTTATTTTGTCCTCCATTTCGGAAATCCAAGCTTCAAGTAGCAATGGATCCTCTGAGAGGGTGGGGCTGCGGTACAATACGTTCATGATCTCGCTTTCCAATCTTCTGTAGGCCCATATGCGGCCGGAAATCATGAAATTAGGCGACTGGTCCGTCATATCGGAGAGAGCCGGTGATATGGCGAGGTCGCCAGGCCCATAAGGCAGAGCAGTGGTAATGATGTCGTTCGGGATTTTCGGGGCCCGTCGAACGCAGGCGGCGACGGCCACTTCCATCTCCCACGCACACCAAAAGACTCGACGTCGTAATTCCCGCTCTTGAGCGTTCAGTACACAATCAGATGGAGGTTCTTGGTGGAGACCCATGTCGATACATGCTTCACTTGCCAACCCGGTCAAGAGGGTCAGATTAGCCACGTCGGGGTTCAGAAAGACGTATTGCGTAGCCAGCAGCAACGCCTGCAAACCAGACAAGTCATTCGACCACATCTTAGGCACGTGTTGGACGGCGGTCTTGAACAGACCAGTTGCCAACGACTGAGCATGTGCCTGTTTGTGCCGTGCAGCCGTACTAAGGGAAATGGCCATGACCAGACTGACAATATAGGTATGACAGGAAGAAGGCTCAGTGAGCAAAGATCGGTCAGCCACCGTTCGATAATACACCGCATTGAAAGGTTCCTGGACGTCTGCTGGGAGGTAAATCGGATACTGAGGATTCACCCGGTTCGTATAGGTGTTGAGCAGGAATTCCGCCACTGTAAGGGTAATAGCTGATAATGGGAGGGTTGAGGATGGGCTCTGAATTGGCAAACTATTGTGATCTTGCATTTCGAAGAGCTCCAAACCCCTACGAGCTGTTGGGGTCTGCGTAGGTGTAAAGGTGCATCGGGGAATATGTAGATTTGTCTCTATGCCGAGATAAGAGGGGGTGATTGCTTGTAAGACGACACCAACCACTGTTGAACCTTGATGGAGATGTATCTTTCTTTGCCGTGGGACCGTTTGAGAAGAAGCTGGGGTTTTGTTGGTAGATGATGAGGTCGACCGTGGAGTATTGTCACTTTCGCGCTCAAGAGATGCGATGTAGCCTTCCAGATATCTAGCGATACTCTGCGGCACAGTAGATCCAGACGAGTTCTCTCGCGTATCGCATGGCAGGTTTGCCTCGAGACACTTGGAACACGTCGGCCGGTTTGCGTCGCACTGGTTATGCTCGTAAATTTAGATCTTCATGTGTTGTAGGTTTGGTCATTACCTTTATTTTCCTTTGGCGGCATCGCGTACATGCTGCAGTGCGCCTTTGGACCCTTCCTGTAGGTCTCATTGCGTCTTCATTGTAGTGGCGAACAACTCCTAGACCAAGGTTACGTGCATTCAATCATGCGATGGTGACTTGTCGCTTACCGCCCTTCCAGATTGGAATGGGGAGGCTGCCACAGCAGTCCTTTGGTAAAACTTACAGATAAGACTGGTGGAAATTTAGCGCTAATCCGTACGTGAGGGGGTCGGACATATACTCGGTATTACTGTTCCAGAAATCTACGTCATCATATTATAGCGGCAAGGTTCTGCTGAACATTTGGTTGAGAAATCTCACGTGATGGACAGCACTAGTCATTTTCAGATGACCAGAAGACGCTAATGACACAGCGGGCAAGGCGGCTTGGGCCACCCATCGTGAATGCTGTCGCCGGCCGCCCTCTATCTTCCCCATCTCTCTACTGTCAAGATAGTCTCCGGTCATAAGGTCAACTCTACCAAAATGCGATGTCAAGATACATCAAAATCCTTAGTGTTGCTGTCTTTGAATCATATTGATAGTCGGTGATACTCGATCAAGTACCATTATTTTCATCTCGACATGCAGGTTCAACGCCATGAGGACGAGATATCAGACGCCGGAAGATCAGATGATAGTTCCATGGCCGACCTACAAGCAATACTCAAGCTACTTCCGGCATGTCAACGGTGCCGCAAGAACAAAAAGCGATGTGATCTCCAACTGCCAGCATGCCAGAACTGCACAAAAGCAGAAGAAGAATGTTTTTTCCTAGATCTCATCACGAACGAGAGACTGCCACGACAGTATGTGTAGCTTATCCTAGTCTGGATCTACATGCTGACCATCTCACATATACGTTGCTTCCCTACTAGACCATATCAAAGCCCTCAAAGCTAAAAGGGGCCACAAATCGAGCGGCGATGGCCATGATACCGTGTCCGCGCACCTCGTACCAGTACGAGGTATGTCAAGATATCTCGGCAGCCGCGCAGCTCTTGCAATACCTGCCCAGGCTCTCTCTGCCATTTCCAATGACGAACCCAGTCCCACCTTGGAGCTTCCTATCAACTTCACGAACGGTTCGTCAGTGACCTCGGAGATGCACACGTTCTTGATGGAGAGATACTTCCATGTTATCCACAAGGTATATCCGGTTTTTGACTGGCCCTCGGAGTTTTTCACTGTCACATCGCAGACCTATGGCAGCAACCGATTCCTCTTATACGTCCGCGCAATGGTTTATTCTATTGCATGCCATTGCCTGCCGAAGAATGACCTCAGGCTCGTGCTCCTCTCAGACGAACTATATCGACATGCCGTGGCACATGCTGAGGATGTCATGTCCCAAGTCTCTGTAGAGGCTCTCCAGGCCGTTCTATTACTGGCTCTACGCTGTCTCTTCGATCCACGCAAAGGATCTTTGGGTCAAATGATTGCCTTCTCAAAGTCTTTGATGACGGAGTTGGCTAGTCGCGGGGTTCTGGAGAATTCTCCCTTGGAACTACCATTACGATGTATGCTATCCTGTCTCGATAACTTGGTTGGCTCGGCTCTTGATAGACCCTCAGGACGTCCAGAAATGGTGAGTGAATACTCTAGTGAAGCCCTCGCGGTTGATTAAATCTCGAATAGGACGTGTCACAAACATTAGACCTGTCGAATCAAACGGCCTTCTTGACCTCGCAATATCAGGAGCAATGGAAGTATCGCAACAGCTGCACTACCGAAGTTCAAGACACAGCAGCATTCGATAAACCGGTCGATCAAAACTGGTCTCCAATCACTCACACTGCGCGCTGCGAAACACGGTTTTTGGTAGATACAACTACAAAAAGTGCACTGGAGCTCCTGCACGAATACTGTCGTCCCAATACCATCTTCACGGTCTTCACTGCGCACTGGACTTACAAGGCAGCGCTGTGGCTTTATCAGGACGGGGGGGCCCAGATTTCCTGGTATCCTCTGGCCTTGAGGACGCTCGAGCGATGTTCTCTCAAATGGCCAGAGTCGGGAGCGCTCATGGATTCTTTGGCTCATATGTCGTCACCAAGGTCCTATGCAGAAAACATTGATTGAAGTCTCGCTCAATATTCCATATCAACGGACGAGGGCTATCAATCCATATTAAACATGACGTCGTCCCAGAAAGCGATTTTGCCCCTCAAGTCAGGTGACGCCTTTACAGCAAGCTTTGCTATCACAGATCCCGGCTGGTGAGGCTCTACCAGTCTAGGGCGTAGATACGCTATGTACTCCTCCAACTCGTCGGCAGTCATTCCCGGAACTATTTCGTCAGCCAAAGCGTCTCTAGACGCTGCAGAGAATTTCGGATCGTACTCACATTCTCCGCGGATCAGTTTGTTGACAAGGGGTGTATTTACGATACCAGGATATACAGCGATGGCTGTGATATCAGGCTCCTCCAAAGTCAATGCCTGGGCAAAAAAGTTGACCGCTGCTTTCGAAGCTCCATAGGCCCCCCAGGCCTTCCAGCGCAGCTGCTCGCCAGCATCTGACGACGTAAAGATGACTCTCCCTTTGGATTTTCTCAAATGCGGGATTGCCGCCGAAAGCTGGTAGAAGGGTTAGCCTCGGAGCACGTATTGTGCGACCTTGACTGGACTTACCATGGATACATGAGCTACAACATTGACATTGAAGATCTTTGTCACTTCTGTCGATGCCATGTCGCATATTCGCTGAATTGGTGCCATAATCCCAGCGTTGAGGGCAACGGCATCAATCTTTGCCCAAGTCTTGATGGCGAGTTCCACAGCCTGCGAATTGACTTGATCGTTACTCACATCGCCGATCACGTACTGGAACTTGTCCTTTCCAAGCGTTGCCTGTCGTTGCCTCAACGGCTCCTCAGCCAGATCAACCACCACAAGTCTGGCATTCTCTCGCAGGAGCTGGTCGACAATTGCGGCACCGATACCAGCCACTCCACCTGTGACAATAACAACCGGATCTTGCGCCATGACGATGCACTGTACTTCACGTGTCCGGGTTTTAGGATTGGGCACAAGCACTCTTTGATCCTTTTGTCTTCTTCCCCGCAAGCAAGACGAGAACTTGACCTCGGGCTCGCCGGATAAACAGTGATAGTCAAGGACAAGAAAGCCGCATTTCAGACCACAGACCACAGACCACAGAACGATGGTGGTTTGCCCATGTCTGAGACTATGCCGTGCAATCAGGATTGCTCTATTAGATCGCTCTCCATCCCGTGCGTCCCGTCGCCTTCTCCGTCGCCTACCCCGTCGCCTACCCCGTCGCTCATTTCCGTCGCTCACTCCCATCGCTCATTCCCGTCGCTCATTCCCGTGGCTTCTTCTAAACGCCTGATTCTAGGCAATAATACTCAGTACTCCTTCCCAAAAGTCTCCAGTTGCGCCACCAAACTCCCCGAACTGCAATCTGTGGATTCCCCCCGGCTTTTTAGTCGAGAATCAATAGACTCCGGAAGAAGCTCAGTCGAAGCGGGGGCTTCAGAGGCCTCGGGGGAGGGTCCGCATTCGAGCTCTTATCGCCATGTTAGTCGTCCATTCTAAAAGCCATTTGTGGGTGTTATTATTCAGGGTCCGCCCACCTGGCTCCAGACATCGTCGAGGTATATCTTGCTACTTCTATCACTACTGAGACTTAGGCAGAGGTGTCTTTTTACACATATTTCTCTCGGACCTAAACTTTTCGATATGTCTGACTTGCCAATCCCCGGAACCGTCCATCAGGTTGATCAGGCGGATCACATCCAAGGTGTCCGTCGCAGTCCGAAAAACCACGATATCATTCTACTGCCTCAGCCATCAGATCATCCTGATGATCCTCTCAATTGGTCCAAGTGGCGCAAGCTCGTCAGCGTCTTGGGCTACAACATCTATACCCTGGGCGTGGTGCTCATGGTCTCGTGCTACACCCCGGCAAATCTACAAATCCAAGAGAAGACTGGGATCCCCGTTGCCAACATCAATACTGGCGTCGGCATCTATTTCCTCTTCATCGGCTATTCGAATCTTATTTGGCAATCGCTTGCCCTCAATTACGGTCGACGACCAGTCCTGTTGTTGTCGTTCCTGCTAGTCATCGTCCAAGCTCTTTGGCAGGCATGGTGCAAGAATACGGCACAATGGTATGCCAACCGCGTTCTCATGGGTATATCCGCAGGTCCAGTCGAGACACTCCTCGAGCTCATCGTGGCCGACTTACATTTCAGCCACGAGAGAGGGTTTTACATGAGCATCTACGTGTGGTTGCTGTTCAACGGCCCCTTTCTAGGCTGCATTCCAGCAGGCTTTGTTGCTGACTCTTTGGGTTGGCAATGGATCGAATACATTGTCTGCATCATCGGCGCCGGTCTGTTCGTTTGGCTGTTCTTCACCTTTGAGGAGACGGCCTTCTACCGGCCCGACGTGATCTCTGCCGAGAATATCGACAGCATCGCATCAAAGACTGCCATCTACGATGCCGAGGCCAATGTCGCACTCCCCCAAAAGGGAGAAAAGGGTGGTGCACTTGAAGCAACAGGAGCAGACACCATCAAGGCCCCGACGACCAGTGTCGACGCGACGCTTGACATTGTGAGCCAGCCGAAGTCGTACTGGAAACGACTTAGTTTTCTTCCTACTCACGACGCAAGGAGGAAGAGCACGGTGTGGAGGAACTGTTATCTTTCTATCGCTCTGCTACGATTTCCCGCCGTCATCTACTCTGGTCTGCTGGTTGCATTGTCTCTCTCTTGGTTCAATGTTGTCAACGGCACTCTTCCGAGTATATTAGGTGCAGAGCCCTACAACTTCAGCGCCAACATTGTCGGCGTCTTCTACATTGCCGCTGTCATTGGAGTGGGATTTGGCAGCTACTTCTCAGGGCAGTTGAGCGACAGAGTGGCTGTTTATATGGCACGCCGCAACAACGGTGTCTTTGAGCCGGAACATCGTCTATGGGTGTTCCTCTTCGCACTAATTCTACATCCATTGGGGTGCCTACTGTTTGGCGTCGGCGCGGCTCACAACATCCACTGGGTCGGTCTCGCTTTCGGTTTGGGTATTTTCTGTGCCACTCTGCCCATGGGTTCCTCAGTGGCGTACAATTATGTCATTGACAGCTACAAAGAGGTCGCCGGTGAGGGTCTTGTGTCGGTGGTCTTGATTCGGAACACTATCGGTAAGTCACCAGGGGAAGCCATGATGGCGGTTTCACTGACAATGGTCATTATCAGGCTTCGGTTTTGCTTATGCAATTGTTCCCATGATCGACGCCTTGGGCTTGCAGGGGGCCTTCATACTACTCACTTTTCTGGGGCTATTCATCTGGTGTCTCACCTTCGTGATGATCATGTACGGCAGCAGATTTCGCAAGTATACGGCTCGAGCATACTGGAAACTAGTTGAAGAACAAGGGCTACGTGTTCATTGAGACGGGGCCACCCTGGGGGACAAGACATGTTGGGGGCATTTTCCGGCTATTTCAGTAATGCTAAGTAGCCCCAAGACTCAGAAATCTCTCCCGGTGGTGAGCCGAGGAGATTTCAGCAAGATGGGCGTGGAGGAGGAATTTTTTTGATATTCTTGTGCAGCTTGATGGGTAAGTGGTTCCTTCAGCGGAATATATGTATATATATACACAATGACCCATCTTTATATCTATCTCTGTGGTGTGTAGTGTTCGTGGACCGTCTGGCAGACCCTTGTAGGCGTTGTGAGGCACCAAAGTCGTCCACGTTTTACTGGTGATCCCTTGACGTGTCTCACATGGCAGTTAAGCCACGCGGCGGCGAACATGAAGGTCGAGCTTTGTGAATCCATCAACAGTAAATTACGTCGATTTTTATGATGTTTGAAAGTCTCAAGTCAGGAGCGAGCATTTATTCTTCAAAGAACTCATGTTGAAAAGAGTCAACCGTAATGTCGTCGGACTAGCGACGGGCGATCTATGCGTCGAGTCGACAGAAAACTATTTGCCCTTTTGCCCGCCTTTCACGGTCGCACCTTGAATGTTACCAGCTTTGAACTCGTCCACCATCTGGTCCATCGTGACCCATTCGACGCCCTCATGCCCGTTGACAAATTCAATGAATCTCTCGTGCATGAGCAAGACCTGCGGTTTCCCGCTCACCTGTGGATGGATACTGATGGGGAAGATAAAGGTGTCGTACTCTCGATAACAAAACGAGAACTGATCTCTCCAGAGTTTTTCCAACGCCCATGGATCAACGTAGCCGTGGCTCGGTCCCTTGAAGGAGAATTGGAAAGGGGGCCAGTCGTCCAGATGCCAATTTGCAGGAATCTCGACGACGCTCGAGTCTTTCCACGCACTCATGGGGACCATCCAAGTCTCGGCGTCCTTGCTCGTGTCGGTTTCCTTCCAGGGATCCGTGTTGATGTGGGGGAGATAATACGGCTGGAAGTCGTGGTGCATAAAGGAGTGATCGTATTCAATACCAAACTCCTCCAAAAGCTTGACACATTCCCGAGAGGTAGCCCAAGCAGGGGCTGTCCAGCCTCGAGGCTTCTTACCCACGAAAGAGGTCAGTACGTTGATCGAGCGTCTCAGAACATCCCGTTGCTGCTCTTCAGTCAGAGTAGACACGAATTCGTGAGTATAACCGTGCAAGCCTCTAAAAAAAGAATTGAGCAAAGAGTTAGATCCAAACCAAAAAACCGCCATATACAATGCTCCACAGAGAGAGAAAAACGTACATTTCATGACCGGCATCTCTAACCTTGGCGATCTGTTCAGGGAAGCTTTCGATCGAGTGTGCTGGAACAAACCACGATGTCTTGATGTGATAGCGCTCCCAGAGTTTGAGAAGGCGGTCAATGCCGACCGTTGCTCCGAAAACACCACGCGACACATCCGTTGGGTCCGCGTGACTGCCATCAATGGTATTGATCCTTTTTTGGGAGCTGAGTTAGTTTGTCGAGGTGTTTTGTCCAGGAGTAGCCTTACCATCCACTGACCGCATCCACGTCGATGCCATACCCAATCAGGACTCGCTTCTTTCCCATGATGGTTAGTATTGGAGTAGGCAGTACCTGAAAACCCCTTGCTTTGTTAAAATTCACACCGAATTGACTAGACTACCGGAGCAGAAAGGAGAGGCTTTGAATGATGGGAGGTAGCGGTTCTATACTTTTATCCTTTCCTTAAGGAGAACCCCATGTATGGAGTTTCCATGTACCGAGTATGGAGTTCTTCTCCATAATAGGACGCTAGACCGTCACGCTGAAGAGGTCCGCCTTTGGTCTCTCCAACCCTTGTGGAACCTCAACAAACACGGACGTGGGCGAAGTTAGCGTCGCCTAGATGCGCCCGGGTTGACTTGGCTCAAACCACGAATCACCATTTCTTCATTATGTGATTTGATTCAAAGTAGGTTTCTTTGTTGTTGATTATAGTCGCAGCATCCAACAAGCTATCTGTTCCCCGAGAATCGACATTCTATCTCTCTCTCTCACGCACACAGACACACACAGACACACACACAGAGAGAGGGGGACAGAGAGAGAAAGACAGGCGCGCGATGATAATTATCGACTGTAAAGGATCACCACACCAGGTAATTCTACCATTAGCTGGTCAGCCAGTTAAGATTTACTAATAGTTGGCTATTTGGAGATCGGCCGGCAACATGGTGAAGGAGCTCGGCAGCAAATCAAAAGGTCTATTGCCTTTTATGCCGGACTCTTTGAGTCCATGAGTCGGTTGAAGTGGGATGAAGTGCAGCAGCTTGCAGATCCTGTCGCGGCCATGATCCAAAAAAAGTGGCCTCCATTCTATGAAGAGATGCAAGGTGAGAGATGCCCTTGTTCAAAAACCTCTCAGTCTCCCCCCCTCTTTGACACATGGCACAGGCGTTGCTGAAGGCTCGGGCTCTTCAGTACTCGACATTGTGGCCCTCAACATCCGCACGGAAATTGCCTTTGGACAGTTCAGTGACGGCTGTACCAGCTTGGCATGGCATACGAGCGAATCGGCCTTTCTCGCACAGAATTGGGATGCAAGTATATCTGATTGGACACATGGACAAACCAGGCTGATATTATGATGGGCAGTGGAAAGAAGCACAAAAGGAGAATCTCATAGTCTTGAAGATCAAGCAAGATGGGAAACCCGATATTCAGATGATCACTGAAGCAGGCCTTATTGGCAAAATTGGATTCAACGAGAACGGAGTGGGCGTTTGCTTAAACGCCATTAAGGCGAAAGGCATGGACATGAATCGTCTTCCGGTTCATCTGGCATTACGCCTGGCCCTCGAATGCAGCACAGCTTCGGAAGCCCTTGAAAAGCTGGAATTGTTTGGCGTCGCGTCCCCCGCCCATATTCTGGTGGCTGACCGTACTACTGCCTTCGGAGTAGAATGTTCATCCACTACGATTGAGAAGCTCGTGGCCGATGGCCGAGGGAGACTGATTCACACAAATCATTACAAGCTGCAACACAACGGTGTAGTAGATGCTCAACTCCTCGAGGACTCGGGGCCTCGCGACACGAGGATGCTCGAGTTGACCGACACTTTGGCCAAACCAACATGGAGTGGAATTTTCCAGGCCTTCCAGGATGAAGCCGATGCACCGTCATCAATCTGTCGAACACAGGTTGGGAAAAGCACACTCGCAACATTGTTCAACATCATTATGGATTTGAGAGCTGGGAGAGCTGAGATATGTCTTGGTCGACCAGTGGATATAGAGGAAAAGGTGTCGCTGTCATTTTAGAACACTATGTCTGTTTGCTCACATGTTCAAAACTGTTGGCAGATGGATTGATTCCAATGCCCATAGTAGCCATCGTAGACAAAAAATCTCCCCTAGACTTATCGCGGGGAGCAGCGCCCCCCCCTCCCCTCCCCCGGGGCCCACAGCAATGATTCAACTCGTGGCAAAAAACCCTGCTGTCGTACACGAGAACTATGTTCTGGCTATTCAAAGCATAAAAGGCAAATAGACAATCAACGGTCCAGATTTGTGACCCGCGGCGCCAGCGGACGGCCCGACTCAAGTTTGAACGCACTGTCCGACAGTTGAAATCGGGAGCTGTTTGAACAACCTCGGAGGAAGGCGACCAAGATCCAGGCCGTCAAGGTGGCTTGCTGTCGGCAATGCCGTGATTGGGTTTTTGAGTCGCTTGATCGGGGTTGCTGCCCGGGGTAGAGAGATCCACTTCTCATATCATTCAATGGAATGGCCTTGCTCGTCCTGATATTTGTTCACAGGTGCGAAAGTCTTCCATTCATCCAAGCAAGATTGACAAAGTGACAAAACTAGAGACAACATCTTCAGTGATTATACTCGGTTTCATCCAGGACCTGCTTATCCTACCACACCCTCTAAGCATACCACAATGCTTCTCTCGCTCCTCCCTCCTCTATGCGGTATACTGGCACTCGTTCTACTGGTCGGGCCTTTGGTCAGCTACTGGTGGGATCGAAAGGGCCTGCGAAAGTTTCCCTCTCCATCATTCGCCGGTATCAGCTCACTGTGGCGTGTCTGGCACAATCTCCGTCATCGACACTATTTGGCAGTACACAAAGCCCATGAACAGTTGGGTACTCATGTACGAATTTCTCCAAATCATATTTCAGTTGCACACCAACAAGCAGCCTACGATATCTATGGCCACGGTGCCAATATGATGAAAGAGGCCTTTTACGACTCCGGAGCGGGTGCACACCGGAACCTAGCCGACGCTCGCGACAAGATTGAGCATCAGACCAAACGGAAGATGCTTGCACACGCGTTTGCCCAGAAGACCATTGTCGGGCTCGAGCCTGTCTTGATTGATATGCTGCAGACTTTTGTCGGCGCAGTCAATGCCCATGTCCGGTCGGGCGAAAGCATGAATATACGACTCTATTTCAACTATTTCACCATTGATCTTCTGGCAATGATCTTGTTTAGCAAGCGTTTGGGGTGCGTATCCCGTGGAAATGATGTGGTGGACGCGGAAACCACGACGGGAGTGGTCTACAAGACTGCTTTTATAGAATCTTTGCACCACTCCCTGACCATCAACGTTGCGCTGGGTATGGAACCAGTGTTTCTCTCGTGGACGAGGTGGTTGTTTCAACACCACCCGTACATGCGTGATGGTGTCAACTTTGAAAATATCATCCATCACAATGTCAAGGGGCGCCTTTTACAAGGTGTAACCCAGGACGACCTCTTCACGAGACTGTTGCAAGACAGCAAAGGGAACAAGTTGAGCCTGGCTATGGGTGAACTTGTCGCCGAGTGCAGTGTCATGATGAACGCTGGAACAGAGACAACGACTGCCGCCATGACCAATACTGTCTTCCTCGTCTACACCCATCCTCGAGTCCTCGCGAAGCTGAGAGAAGAGTTGGATCCACTCTTCTCTGACCAAGGTCTTCCCAGTTACGAAAAGGTCTCTAGATGTCCTTATTTAAGAGCCTGCACCGAGGAATCACTTCGGGTGCGACCTCCCAGCTCCATGGGGCTCCCTCGAGTTGTGCCAGAAGGGGGGCGGATGGTCGCTGGAGAATTCATCCCTGAGGGAACCACGGTATCCGTCCCAACGTACACACTCTTGCGTGATGGCTCCATTTTCGACAAGCCGTCCGAGTATATCCCAGAGCGCTGGCTCACCGAGGACGCCGAGCTCAAGCGAGAAATGTTGAGGAGTCATCTCCCGTTCAGCACCGGCCCACGAGCCTGTATCGGACGCAACATTGCGTACTTTGAGCAGACCTTGGTGATTGCCGCGTTGGTTCACCACTTTGACCTTGAAGTACCGGAGAATTTCCAACTGGAAACTCAAGAACGATTCAACTCGAATCCTGGGAACCTCTTTGTTCATTGTAAACGGCGTGACCTAAAGGTCTAAATGTGTATATAACGATGCGCCTTTGAAATGAAGTATCCAATGGGTATGACATGATGACACATATAACGCAATAAGTATGAATATAGTCTTGTTCATTGTCTTTCTTACCCGTAACCTCTTTTTAAGAATTTCTCTGACTTGAGTTTTTATATACAACGTCTCTAGCTGACGAGCCGCAGACATGTGACCAGAGAAAAGCCACAGCCTTCGGACTTTTCGAAAGCCTTCATAAACAAAGCGTCACATTTGCACCTGCCAAATAACCTCGAAAATAGACAGCATAAAGATTAAAGTGAATTATGAGGGTGACTCTTGACGTGGTGCCTACTTGAGAGCAGAGATCCTGCTAGAGAACGAGTTGAACAACTTCGAACTCGCTATGGATGCTGGTAATCTTCCTCGGCGATGATTCCACCAAAAGATTCTAGCAAGCAAACTCCGCCTCCGTCTAATGGTCAGAGCCCAGGCCAACTTGTATCCGTCTCACCTTAGCACACAGACGGGCTAACGGAGCCGCCGCCCTGATTTGTACAAAAGGCAAACGTAATACGTTACTTCGGGCAGAAAGTTCAGTGGTACTCTTGGTGCATCCCCAAGCTCGAGCGGCTTAACTGAATCCCTCCTCCCACCAAGGAGTCTTGAGGGAAGGAGGCACTTTCCCTCTGTCGGCCTACGCCGAGTTTCTCAGCTTTGGCTGTGACATTGTCTTGTGACCTATGATAACGTGGTGACCTATCAGGTAGACTTCGAACTTGATGGGCGGCCCACAGCTAGTAGCCGCAACGATGATGATTGGAGCTGTACGCTTCATACACAAACCGCGTCTGACAATCGACCGCGGCCGCTTGTTGCGCAATCCGGCTCATTCACTTGTTCACAAGCTATGCATTGAGGCGTTTCTGCCGTTGAGCAATGAGTAGGCGGCTAGCTCAGGTCATCCCAGCAGGGATTTTCCGCTCGCAACATGGACCTTTGCAGCTGTGCCCGATGGCTGCCCCAAGTAAGGCGGACGGAACTGGAACGAAAGAAGGGTGACAAGACCGCGCGTTCTGGAGGACTTGGGATGGTGAGTCTCTCTTCAGGGAGCCCTTACTTCTATGAGGTCCTGAATACCCTGGTAAGAAGAGGACTGAAGGTCACTCTCGCAAATGACGAAGCATCGTGGTCATGATCGAGTGAAGAACGGTGTGAGGCGTGTATTGGTCCCTGACTGCATCAGATGTCACGTTGGGATAGCACGCAGATTTGCGCCCCAGTCAAGCAAAAGCTGTTGAAGAGGAGTTGACAATGTCATGGTTCATGGTTCATGGTTCAAAGCAGGGTACATATGGTGGCCTGCAGAGAGAGACCGAGGTTTCCTCTTCCGGCCTATATTTGAGGCTAGCAGCCAGTACGGGAGGAAAAAGTGCCGACTGTGGGGGCTCACCCCTGGACTCGCACAGGGCGGCATCACCCTACGCCGGATGCGGGGTGAGCCGCGAGCAGCTTAACCACACCTTGGCACTCTGGGTAAGGCTGCACCTTGCCATCCCCGCCCATCCTGCAAGCTGCCCAAACCATCTCGTCTGCTTCCCTCAAGCACAACCAATCCGCTGTCTGGGCCCACCATTTAGTGAAACTCTTGATGCAATAATGTCTTGCTCTCTGTGTCATAACTCCTTTCAATTGATCAGGTGAAAATGACAATTCTAAGACGCTTTTTTGGCCGTATACCAGCTGGCCCGCAGCGGTCGTTCGCGGCCCAAGTGATCACAATCGGTGTCACATGTGTCGCAGCATATTCATCATGGGCCCTGGTCGCACATCATTGGATTACATGCGCTGTATGTTGGTCTTATTCCCTCCCCATGACAATCCCTTTACATTTGTCTGAGTCGTCGCTAAGCTGTGTTTTTGGCCAAAAGCCCTCTGAAGGTCCTTCGATGTACCCATCCATGCCCAGCAGCCTCTCCTACAACATATATTCGCGCAGGTACAAGCGAGGAAAGAACATCAAGGTGGGAGATGTGGTGGTCTTCGAGAGCCCCATATTCCTCCGCGGCATAGCCTGCAAACGTGTTATTGGTATGCCCGGGGATTATGTCGTCCGCGACCCTTATCTATCTCCCACGGTGGGCGGAGCTCCGATCCCAGGTTTATACGAAGGCGATGCGGTACGGGAAGAGCCTGTCATGATACAAGTTCCAGAGGGACATGTGTGGGTAGCCGGCGACAACTTGTCTTACAGCAGAGATTCCCGATTCTATGGCCCGCTACCCATGGCTTTGATTACAGGCAAGACCTTGTATGTTGGCGATGGGTATTTCAATTGGACGTCTTTCCGCAAACCACAACTTCAACCAGTCCCCATCTCTGATACATTACAAGGACCCGTGGCAGGTGAAGCCCACCTAGAAGACACCCAAACTACCTGAGAATACTGGACCTGAGCGTCTGAAACAAGAAGCATGTCAAAAGCCAAAAGAGACTACAGAGTCTTATGAGATGCGGCGAGCCGCAATTGATATTATACAGCAGGTGCTGGGAAGAGGACAGCTCAGCTATCTCATCCCCTCATCCTAGACGTATCACGCCTTTGATACGGCAGAGGCTCAACCTTCTTCCTCTTATACTCCACATCCGCACCGTCGATGCCTGCTCTCTGCATAATGGCAGCCGTACTTTCATCCCACTGTGTCCGGAACAACGAAGCACTAATGGGACTGAGCATGTGACGACTCATCATACTGCGTACTGTGAATCCATCACGCTGGATCTTTTTCCTGGCAACCTCAAGATCAATCGGGATGTCGTCTTTTTGTTGCAAAATGATGATGGACAACCGATGATATGGACTGCCTTTCTGCGCGTAGGGTGGCAGCCATGGTAGAAGGACCTGGGAAGTCGGAGATAGAGTTGCCAGATCTATCGTGGCCTGTGTTGGTGAGATGACGACGTTGCATGCAAGATAGTGGCATCGGGAGTCAAAGGAGTCGGTCTCAACATTTGGCACATCTGGGTCGACAACGGCGATGGTGACCATCTTTTCGCCTCGCTCATAGGATTGTAGGGTCAAACGACAGGGGCTTTCGCTTATGTGCGACTCCACGAACTCGCCCGGTTGTACAATTCTGTTTCCAAACACTATCTTGACATCCAGGACAGGATCCACGTTTGGAATGACGTCTGGCACAACATTCATCTGTGTAATCCGTTGAACGAGGACTTTTCGCGGATACTCTCGCCACTTCCGCTCGGCCAGATGTCTGTAGATAGGCTTGCTCAGGTCACCTGGGAATGTTAGCAGGTCTCAGCTGCTCTCAACATGTCTGCACACCTTTGCCATCTTCGAATCTCCTCTTCACATTGGGATCGTTGATGTCAGCCAAAATCTTGAGCTTCTCCAGCTCGGCGAGCATGCTGTTCAGCCTCCTTTGTTTGTAAACTTCCCCCCCGGGAAAGGTGCTTGGGTCGACATCCCGGAGACGAGCGATGCGAGCCCTCTCTGTCTCTATCTTTTTGAGTTTCTCAGCTCGGTCGGCAATGAGAATTTTGCGAGCTTCTTGGAAACATTGGTACGGCAATTCGTCGAAGGGAATACCAGGAGATTGCGCGAGTGCGGCGCGGCGTCTTCGAGATCCGACGGGAAATTGACCAGCTCTCAACAGTTTCCGTTCAAGTCGAGGAGCATGAACAGTAGCTGGATCGGGATTATGATAATAGGAGGGCTTCTGTGCTTGGACTTCTTGACAGGTCGAGCTTGTCGATGTGAAGGTTCGGAGAGCGGCTCTGGTTAACGACACCTCAACCGTGAATGACCTCAGCGAATGCAGTAACAGCAAGCTAGGAGCCCGAGAAGGTGCCATAGTCGACAGGTTGGGCTTGAAACCTGCGCCGGTTGCAGATGCGGGTTCGTGAAGAGCAACACCACGGGCGTGTCGATTGACTCCGAAAAATTGTTAGAGGGAATTTCGGAGGAGCATAGGCCCGAGACCGCGCAGAAGCCATCACGTGCTCAACAACCACTCTAAAGCCTGGCACGTGGCATGTTGCACGCGCTCGACCAAGCTGCTCGTCCTCCCTGCGCCAACCACCTAACAACCTTGCGGCCTCTGCCAAATGAGATGCTACTACAAGGTAATTAGGTATACTTACAACTTCCACATCCCGACCGAAACAAGGCGCCCAGCGTATCTCCTCGCACATTCCCGAATTTGAGCATCGGCCATTTGCCAGCCCTGCCAAGCTTCTCTGTAAGCATTATGCTAAGCATTGACGGCGTTGCTAGCGATCGAATCAACCCAATCCAAAGCCCAAGCGAAGCACGATCAATAATCCATCAAGATCATTCTAGGTAAAGGCTTCGGATGATCTAACGCCAGATTTCTTTGCTGTCCAGATAAGGATCTCCAGTACTCTTTCCGCGACATCGAGCATGCTTTATTTCCAACTGGGCGCATGCGTTTTATTACCGACTTTGCCAATTTCGACCGATGCGGCCGGCCATCAAGAATCCTCCCACCACCAATTGATCGCGCTGAGTCATAGTAAACCTCCGTCTAACTTCGCCGAGTGCGGCCCGCGGACGTTGGAATTTCTTATGTAAACACTGACAGCTTCGCTTCGTTTCCTGTCCGCGTTTGAGCCTTCTTTCTACTCTTCGTCCTCGGAGCAGTAACAATGTCAGAAGTGGACAACGATCGCCCACAGACGATGTCTCAGGAAGAGGACAAAAAGGGAGCCGCAAACATGACCGGTGATGCCGGCCCTGACACCCAAGTTGCGCAGCCCAAACCTAGTATGTTAAAGAAAATATGGGCGAAATTGGGCCTCGATATTCCCACAGTTCTCTTGATGCTCAAGTAAGACGTTTCCACTCGTTGTCGTCTCACGGCTAAATGTACACAGGGGAGGACTGCCTCCAGCCATTGCACTCGCAGCGTAAGTATCAGGGCCTCTTTCTAGGCAGTCGCTCATATTTCTAGTTACCAGAGTGATGAGTGGGCAAAACAGTACTCGACCCTAGGATATCTGATCGCAATCACGTCTTTTTTGTCTCTCCCAATCCTCCCGCGGGCAAAATTTGTCCAGTCCATGGCAATATCCATCATCACGGTCTGCTTTGCTGCCGCCGTTTCCCTCCTGTCGATACAATGCGCTGTTGCTGCACGTCAACAAGGAGTCCAACCCCCCAGCTCTACAACCACTGGTTCCTCTGGGAGTAAGCAAAGTCTGCAGTACAGCTCGGCAGCCAATGTTACGGCCTGCGTCTGGCTGTTCTTCTGGCTATGGTTTGCAAATACGCTACGGGCAGCCCGTCCCCAACTCTTCATCGTATCTATTCAATTCACCATCTTCGTGGTTGTCGCCTCTACTTATACTCCGACGTTCCCGAATATGGCAGCTGGGATGAGCTTTGTGGATCGACTGTTGAAGGTGTTTTTGACTGGATATGCTTTGGCCACTGCTGTGTCACTGCTCGTAATACCATTTTCCTCGAGGCTAATCGCCAAAAAACAAATTGCCGGCGTGCTTGGCTTGATGAAAGCCTCTCTTTCCATCCACACAGCCTATTTGCACGGTATCACCACTTCTCAGACAGGCAGCCCAGGGCTCTTGGACGAGAATGGGAACCCGTTGCCGCTGCATGCGAATCCCGAAGCCCGGGTGTCCATGAAGTCTGCCGAAGAAGCAGCTCAGAAGTTGAAGGCAACAATCCAAAAAGCTAGTCAACTTTTTGGGCAGTTGAAGCTTGAGATTGGGTTTGCTAAGAAAGAAATCGGATGGGGTAAGTTAAAACCAGAAGACTTCGGTCAAATCTGGGAAAGATTGCAGCACATCCTCCTTCCCGTGGCAGGCTTGTCAACCTTTGTGGATATCCTTCAATCGGTGAAACGCCACAAGGCCGAAGGAGAGAATTTGATTTCCGACCTGGACGCTATTGAGGCTATCAGACGGCTCGAGGCGGAGGAATGGCATGAAGTTGTCGTCATGTCACGCGTTCCATTCTGGAAAATGAAGACCACTCTGATAGACGGCCTGACTCACGTTGCCTATGTGCTGGAACTCACGCCTCGACCAAGGATTCCCAAGAAAGATGTCGAGACCTCCGCAGGTACATCTCCAGCGCCAGGAGATCCTGCCTTTTGTGAGTACCTGAAGGAACAGATGGCCATTTTCCAAGCCCATCGGCAAGAAACAATGCAAAAGTGGTGTGAGAAAAAGGGTATAGAAGTGCCCGCGAGATTCTGGGAAGATGCATCCTCTCAATACAATTTCACAGATGCAAGCTCTGTCCACGAGACCGTTCGACAAAAACAGAATCACCAACAACTATATCTGATCCTCTATCTCGAGTATCTCCTATTCGCAGTCTGTCAGGCCGTGTTGGCTTTTGTTCAATTTGCAGACTCGAAGGTGCAAGATGGTACCATGAGAAAGAACAGGCTGATATTTCCGGGTTGGAGACGGATTCGCAAACTGATGGAGAATGCATTCATGCAAATGGACGCCAGCGAAGGGTTGCAAGACGGACCAGCGTCGGGTATCTACATCTGGGTAGGAGACTCTCTCCAGAGACACAAGGACCCGGAACACCTACCGCCGACGAACTTGTATCAGCGAGTGACAGACCATCTGAGGATCATCCCTAAGTTTCTCGCATCTGATGCCGCGCATTTTGGCTTCAGGGCGGCAACTGCGAGTGTCAGCCTTGCAATTATCGGCTACATCCGCCAAACCCACAGCTTTTATCTGGCCCAGCGTGGAATCTGGGCTGTGATCATGGTCGCTATCAGCATGGGTGCGCATGCTGGAGCCGGTGTCCAAGGGTTCCTTCTCCGTATCCTGGGCACTGCCATTTCCATGGTCATTTCGATCACGGTGTGGTATATGGGTGACCAGAAACCCGCAGCTATCATTCCGCTGATCTATCTGGTCTTCGTCTGTGGCATCTATGTGATACTAAAACACCCCAAACAGCTCATCACGGCCGTTATCTCCATTGTCACCACCATTTTGATTATCGGATACGAGCTCCAAGACAAGAAGGTTGGCACAAAGGTGCTCAGCAGCAATGGACAAGCATTCTATCACGTCTACCTGCTTGCTCCATATCGTCTAGTCAGCGTTGTGGCAGGTCTGGCCGTCGCTTTCTTCTGGACCTACTTCCCGTATCCCATCACCACGCATGCCACTCTCCGCAAAGACCTTGGCTCAACACTATATCTGATGGCAAACTTCTACTCTTGCGTGCATTCCACCGTCGAACTCTGTCTTCGAACCAGGCCCGATCTCGCTATTGACAAGAAAAACGACCCCAAGCGCAAGCTGGACAAGGCCCGCCGCCGGGTATTCGACAAACTGATGGTTATGATGAATCGGCTCCGCGAACACAGCCAGTTCATCAAGTACGAACCAACATTTGGCGGGAAAT